TCAAATCCCAAGTTTACGATAATTAAAGGTGCAGCTGTCATTAAGTTGGTTTCTTGGAGCTCATAACTTGTATAAGCCCAGATGAACATGGTAACACTCCTGCTTCAGGAAGATCTTTTATATTGTGAATATCCATATGTTCCTCAGGTTAAAATTCTAGGGTTCCTGGGAAATTCTAGGGGCCTAGATTCAGTGGCTGAATGGACTAAGTCTCCATTCGGGCAAGCAGTGCAGTAGCAGAGAAAGCAAGTTCCAGGGTTCCAGTAAAGGATGCTCTTGGCAGCCAAGCACCACCTACCCCCACCCTGTGCGGCTTTGTACCAATAGAGGTGCTTTGCTCCTGCCTGTCTCTCATGCTGAGGTTGGACAAAAAGAAGAAAACCCTGTGCTTGAGGTAATCATCACTTGCTGCTTGTCGTTTGTGAGTGATCGATAACAGCAGGCTTAAGTATTGTGGTAAGCATCGCTTTTGTGAAAGCAGTTTTCAACAACTTACAAATACTCTACTTCTGAGAATCAGCATGATATAGAAAAAGACTTATTTTAGAGCACATATTTAAAGTGACATCTTTTTATTTCATTTATTTCATCTTTCTGTTTTCTATGAATGGCCTTTCAGCTTTTCTTCTCTGTTCATTATGATGATTATTCTTTTGGAATTCTAATACAATATATTCCCCAGTTAAGATCTGTTGCTCTACTTGTACAGTCTAAGGATCACAAAACATTGAATTCTATATTTTAAATGTCTGCATAGCAGACACAAATGGTTGATATTTGAAAATGCTGAAATATCAATAACTGTATTTTATATTTTGTTGTTATATGTTCTATATTCTTTCATGATTTTTTTGTTAGAGTAACCCTTTTCAGTGTTTGAATAATTTCTATTGATTAAAGCAATCATTTTCCAACTCTTTATTTTTTATTTTTTGCGGTACACGGGCCTCTCCCATTGGGGAGCACAGGCTCCGGACGCGCAGGCTCAGTGGCCATGGCTCACGGGCCCAGCCGCTCCGCGGCATGTGGGATCTTCCCGGACCAGGGCACGAACCCATGTCCCCTGCATCAGCAGGCGGTCTCTCAACCACTGCGTCACCAGGGAAGCCCACTCTTTATATTTGGGATAATTTATCTAGCAGAATAAAATTTGCCTTAATTATAAGAAAGTAATTTATTTTGTGATTTAGAGCCCAAAAACTTTAAAAAAAAAAAAAAAAAAAAGAACTGACGGTGAAGTGATAAGCACTGCCCCCTATTATTAGAGAGCAATTTTATCCTGAATAAAGGTGCAGAATAATGCTGGTGAGCTCTTCCTGAAACTTTTCAGTAACTTCAACATAGGAAGTAACTTTCTTAAATATCATCATAGAACTCGGTCAGTCAGGGTGAATTAACCCCCAGAAGAGGCCAGTGAAGTTTTTGTGAACATCAGATTTTTCAAAGATGCAATTACTTCACCCTTCCTGTCCCTCATATAAAAGAGGAAAGAAGTAAAGATTTTCTTAGTGGAAATAGGAAAAAGTATCCAACTACCCTCCTGTTAGCTTATGCTGCTTAAGTAGAATACAGTGAATAGCTCAGAGAGACTTCCATACAATTTGGAAATAAACATAAAACAAATGAGTATAATAAAAAGAAAACCATGGGAAAAATTAAATGATTATGAGTCTCTCCTGTTTTTAAATTGTCAGCCTTGATTAATTCCACAAATTCTACCCACTGAGCATATTTCCCTCAAAGAAACCACTTGCTTTTTTTGATTGTGTGTGTGTGTGTGTGTATGTGTGTGTGTGTGTGTTTAAACAAATATAAGTTTTACTATTATCCAGATTATATAATAAAATTCACCTGCCAATGGGTAGACTGAAGATTTTTTTATTAACTTGTTATATACCACTTATCAGTCTAGATTTCAAAAAGAAAATCTTATCAATTGAAAACACAATTTAGAGTTTTAAAATTTCTTTTTATATTTCAGTTGCTACAGTTGCTACTAGAAAGCATTAGTTTAGTTTAATCCACAATTTACTCAGAGGGATGACTCCCTGGAGAGACATGAAACCACTTAATCAACTGCTATCTGTTAGCTGGAGATTCTCACCACACAGGATTCTCCCTAGCTATATGCATAGCTAAGAATAAAATAATATTAATAGACAATTTGGTAACTCTTTACAGACATATACTTACATGTCTTAAATTTCCAGAATTACATTTATAAATAGTCTGGTCACAAATACCAAGTTCCAATGTGACTAAAATTTTATTTTAGTTCTTATAACGTAAGAACTTAAATTTTATTTAGTTCTTATGACCTAAGCATTTAGGAATTAAATACTAAATAACAATTGTTGGATTACATGGCAGAATATAAGACATATAAGATAAGTTATAACTTTCACAATGCAGTTTTTTATAGAACATTGTTCCCATGTTTTATTTACCTACATGCTAGAACCCAGGAAAAAATTATTCCCATACCCACCAACAGTGTTACATGCTTGCACTCAGCACAAGCTGCTATGGATTTTCTAATACAAACATTGAGCTTTACTTATTTAAACATATGCCTGTTGTAACTAGTGGATTTTTTCATATATATGTATTTGGAAATATAACAAGCATTTTGCATAATGGTGACATTAATGAGCACCCTAATGGAAGAACCATACCTATTTTACATAATTCACAATAACTTTCATTTATTGAGCACATACACTAATATAGTCACAATATTAGAACTTTATACATTTTCTGTCAAGCCATACACAACTTTGAGAAATAGGTATTACTAACTTCATTTTGAATAAGAGTACGTTCTCTAAGTCTACATAGTATTTAAGTAGCAGAGATAGGATTCCACTTGGGATGTCTGATTCCAAACCTCATCCTATAATTCACTCATTTATGCATTATACCCTTAACTATCTATGGACAAAATGTTATTTGCAAGCTTAGAAAAAATGATCTATTTTTTAAAATATCAATATTTTTGCCAGAAATTATGCTTATATGAAACTACATCATTTTCCAAAGAATTTGAATTTCAGGAATCCTATTACACCATCCATTTTCAGCCACACAAAAAATATATTCAGTATTTTTGCACCATGAAATTGCAAGGACTATAAAAGGACTACACTGATTAGCATTTATTTTGGTCTGAGACGTTTTCTGTTCCATCTGGCCCTAATATATTTAAAAAGAGCTTTACTTTTAAAATATTTCCACTTAAAATATTTTCCTAAATTACAGTAATTGAAAAGTAATCGACAAGATACATGTAAATATAGGAACAGAAATGTATATATATCTGAATAAGTGATAGGAAATACGTGGCACTCAAACTTTTAAGCACACATGGCAGACATTACTAATTGATCAGGACAGTTTTTCACAACAAACCTAGATATGCCCCAGGAGTCCTTCTCAACACAATATTTCAGGCACTTTAAATTTTTTGATTTTTTTAGTGTTAAGATTAATTTATTTTCGCATTCATTTATGGGGATTTTATCAGGCACTGATCTAGTATCTGATGTGAAACAGTGCGCGCGCGCACACACACACACACACACACACAGAGGAATAGAGTAGCCTGTCTTATATTTGACCAGGAGCAAGAACAGTCCAGCAGAGTTCAGAGTGGTTGCAAGATCCCTGTTTTAAGAGCACAAATGTTGTGATCAAGAAACAAAGGTGAGGTAGTTGTAGCTGGAATGGAGTAAAAAGGGATAAATGTGGCTGTTATATAGAAAATTGACTGTAGGGAGACAAAAGATGGAAGCTGATTCGTCCATTAAGGTGATGTCTATGATAATTAAGGCAAATAACAAGTACTTAAACCATGTGATGATGCATGTGGTGAATAATCGTCCAGTTTGGGATTTATTTTTAAGGTGGGTAGGCAAGTCTTCATTATCAAAGTGAAATTGAAAGCCTTGGTTTTAAATGAAGTTACCTAGGGAGGGAGTATAGATTGTGGAGATGAGCGGTCCAAGGGAGAGGTCAAGTGTTAAATGTTACAGATTATAAAGCTGGAGGAGAAATCAACAAAAAAGACTGAGGGAGCAGTTAGTCAAGTAAGAGGAGAGCTAAGAGAAAGAAGTGGCCCGGAACCCAGTTGAGGCATGTTTTCTAGAGGGTAGATGTCAATTCTGTCAAACACTGCTTAAAAATTGAGAAGGTGAAGACTGACCAACAGGTGAGGCGCAAATGAGCAGGTCATTGGTGATTTTAATAAAAGCTGAGTTAATGGATTAATGGTGATAAAAGTTTATTGGGTTGTGTTGAAAAGAGTCAAAAGAGAGGAAATAGAAACAGGAAGAAGACCACTATAAAATATTTTTCTATTATGGTGAAGGTAGCAATTAGCTGGGATGGAATATGTGTTTTAAGTTATGTGCCATTCTTGATAATCAATAGTAGCTTAAGGGTCCATCATGTATTCATTTTCAATATTGCATGTATTTATAAGCATTATTTTCAGTGCTCAGTACCAAATCCTTTACATTACAATCCTGTATTATTATCTGCACCCTTGTTTTTGAAAATGATTAGCTTTAGTGTTCTTTAATAACTTTTAACAGAGTCATAATTGGGTACCTAGGGATAATACAGTTTGGTTTTCTTTCACATCCTTTCTTTAACTGATATTTTGATCATACATCTATCATATATTTTGAACCAGTAGAAAACATTAGGTTTCATATTATTCACTAGAAACCCCAAATTTGGAACCTGCGCCCAAGTTTGTAGCCATGAAATTCTTCTCTATGTTGCCCATTGTAGTGAAACAATTCAGTATTTTTATAAAAGATTTTTACCTTACAGGAAAGACAAGCAACAGTGAAAAAGGAAAAGGGTGGTTCCCAGCAGCCAAATAAAGTGATTGACAAGAACAAAATGCAAAGAGCCAACTCCGTTACTGTGGATGGACAAGGCCTACAGGTATGATTTTTTTTAATCCAAATGTTTGTAGCTTTCTTATTTGTTACTTCCATGCTCTTAGAAGGGCATATGTCCAGCTATCAACACGTTTATTTAATGTGCAAATTTGTTCAGTTGACAATTTCAGAAACATTTTTATTAATTTATCAAGATGTCAGTTTTATAGTTGATTGACAGAGTGACATTCTGATTGAATTAATCATTTATGATGTTATCTCCATTTAAACTCAACTTGGTAAGAGATCTTTTGTCAATCTGAATTTTTGGCAAATTATTACTAAATATACACCTTTATTATATACATATGCATTATTTATTTCTAAGTATACGTTCTCTGCACATATTATTATATCTATTTGGAAGTGATTTTGACTCACAAAATGTCTTCAGAAAATAATAAAATGAACTCTACTTGTGTGGAATTTTTTTCTAAATCAATAATAAAAATAAAGAATCTGGGCTTCCCTGGTGGCACAGTGGTTAAGAATCCACCTGCCAATGCAGGGGATATGGGTTCGAGCCCTGGTCCGGGAATATCCCACATGCCTTGGAGCAACTAAACCCATGTGCCACAACTACTGGGCCTGTGCTCTAGAGCCCGCGAGCCACAACTAGTGAGCCCGAGTGCCACAACTACTGAAGTCCACACACCTAGAGCCCATGCTCCACAACAAAGAGTAGTCCCTGCTCACCACAGCTGGAGAAAGCCCGCGCGCAGCAACGAAGACCCAACACAGCCATAAATAAATTAATTTTTAAAAAAAGAAAGTTTATTTTTAAAAATCTATTATAATTTATCCATATCTTCCAATATTTTAAGTTGAAATTGAAACTCCATGTATATTTCTAGTTTAAATTAACACAGGTAGCTCAAAATCATGCTTTGAGTACTTTAAAAACCTCTAAATTACCCCTAGGGTCTCTGACATCAAAAGTAACATTTCTTTCCATCTGTATTTTAAGACATCCTACAGATTGAATCTATTGTAATTTTTTGCCTCTGTTTCTCAGTCAAACATGAACACAATCAAAGAATTTGGCTTAATCTATGGATTAAGTTCTTTTGTTTTGTTTTCCTACCTATACGTTTCTCTCTTCCAAATTTTAATTCCCTTCCTTAAGAATAGGCTTCAAGTTTCATGTTCTCCAAGAAAATTTACCAACCTCTTACTGCACAAAGATATATTATGTCACATAGTTGTGTTCAATATACATGATTTTATGTCTTTTTTTCATTTATTATTTTATCTGTGATTCTGTGGATTATTATGTCTTTTATATTTCTTAATTTACAAGCATAGTTGAGAGCACACAGTAGTTGCCTAAATGCTTGCTTCTTCATTGTTTTGAATATCTCATTGAAAATTTAATAATTATTGCTTAAATATTGATAACCAGTTTACTGCTTTGTTTTGACATAATAAAACACATTGAGAGTAGAATATTGTTCATGAATTATTAAACTCAAATGTAAAAAGAGGAAATTGGGAACAATAAATTTTTTTACATTGGTTAGAGAGTATAGAAGTTAATTATCGAAAGAGAAAATCAGCGTCCACACCTTTTGAAAGGCATACTTGGGTGTTAAGTGATCTCATTGAAAGCCCCAAATATGAAATCTATTCATAGTTTTGATAGCAAAAGCTTTTAGTTTGTTAAGTGATCCTGTGAAATTTTTAGTGGAAAATAATCAACATTTGTAGTTTTAGTAAGTCAGTTGACAATATCGATGTTTAAATATTTAGTCGCTCTGGGTTCCTGCAATGAAAATGACAAAAGGGAAACCTAATTTTTACATTCAAGTATATTTTACATATGGCTAGGCACATACTTCTCAACATGGAAGGGAAACACGCATCATTTGTTAAACAGTATATGCTAGGCATTGTGATGATATTTTATGTGTATTAAGTGACACCTCTCAATGAACATATGAGATAATTATGAATTCTTAACTCTCCAACATATGATAAATATTATTATTACCACTTTAAAAATGAGCACATTGATGTTCTGAAGTCAAATTATTCCTAGGGCCTCACAGTTAGTGAGGTGTGAATGAGGACCATGTGACTCAGAGTTTGTGTGTTTTACTCCTAAAATCCCTGTCTCCTTGGTTAACAACTTTTAAAAGGTCCAGAAATGCTATATTTCTGACCACCTTGCTCTTCCATGTACTATTACATTATTGCAAAGTTTGAAATAAAAAGCATGAATGCACTAGAATTATAACTGCTTTAGTCTCAGTTTCCTAAGATTTGTATAGTTACATCTGACTTTACTCAGACATCAGAACCAAAATTAAATGGTGCATTCAGAGTGTTCTAAAGACTTTAAACTAACATAGCAATATAAGTTGTGTTTTCTTTTTTATTCAAAAAGGATCCAAAATTTTCAATCTTATTACAACTAAATTAGTCACATCAAAAACAATAGGTGATTAACTTTCTCTGTGGATGTGTTTCATTTCTCTAACCAGATAGTAACTTTTCATAGCTTTCTTTGACATATAAAAGTGTCAGGTAAAGTTGTCAGTTAGCAAAGGGAAGACATCAGCCCTTATAAAACAGCAGTAAGTAAATACTGTAATCATGATCATTAAAATTTTTTTACTTTAAAAAAAATTGGTATATAATCACATGCAGTGGTCTGTTTCACCTCAGCAGAATGGACAAAAATATGATGCACATAGGTATTCACATAATTTGGGAGAAAATATTTAAAAGGTAAGAGAATAAAATTATTGGATAGCCATTTCATACAAAATGGAAAAGTAAGTAATTTTTGTTGTGGTAATCAATTTTAAAATAATAAAATGCTTATTCTTTATCATAAAAGGTAAAAAGATCTTACAGAAGATTAATTTTTTCTGCAAGTTTTAAAAATTATATATATCATAAAAAAGCATTGAGTTGCAGCCCAGGTTTGCATATAACTCAGTGACAGAAGAGATCTACACTACTTAAAGACTATTAATCATAGTTAAGCACATTCATCTTACTTCTTTCCAGCTAACCAGCATAATGATCAGGATTATTATTTCTAATTAGAGGAAGTAATAGATCATGTATAACCTTAGGATGAGTCTCATTAATTAACCCCAGTCCTAGGGGACTTCAAATAGAGGTGGTTAGGTACTCCGTCTTTGTCATCACTCATACCATAGGTTTACACTTAATACATATGATCAAATGTCATTGAAACTACAGTTCCTTAACGTGGCAATAGATGTGAAAATACAGATGATTATCCACATGTGAACAAATAAGTAAAAAAACAGAACTGTTGTTTAAACTGTATTAAGCCGACGTTACCTTGTTCCTAATTATTCTTTGAAAAAAGTTTCCAAGCATAAGCATCACTTGCAAACCAAAATGTCTAGTTTGTAATACTCGTAGCAAAAGATATAAAGGGGAACTTTTATACTGAAATATCTAAAACTGAACTAGTGTTTTCCCCACCACAACTGCTTTTCTCTATCCCTACTGTCTTTATTATTTGTAATATCTCATCCTTATATTTCCTAATACTGTAAACATACATATATGCACTATACAGAAATGTATAGAGTGTGTATAAAATTAACTCCTTTTCTTTGATGATATGTGTGTGTATGCCCACTTGGAGTCCTCAGGCCTGTTGATTCTTATAATCAGCTCTTCACTGTCATTTTAACTCCCTCTCTAAGTCCAGAATTACTATTCTATCCTTTGAGTATATAACAACCTCTAAAATGAGTCCATTTCTCCATCCATATAATGTGCTAGGTTATAAATGGAATGAAAAAAATGGAACTGAGTAAGATAAGATGTGTCAGGGCTGAGAGTTGGAGTTGTCTATAATTTTAAGTCAGATAGTGGGATTAGGCCTCATTAAGAAGTGAAGAGTAGGGACATCGCCAAGAACTTTGGCCCATGGAACTGAAATGATGAAGTTGCCATTGACTGAGATGGAAAAGGATCTGGATGAATAAAGTTTGGAGCGAAATTTCTGATGCTGTTAGATATCCAAATGGAAATGTCGAGCAGGCAGACAGATATGTGAATCTAGAATTCAGGGGTGAGGATGGTTATGAATTTGGGAGTGAAAGGCGTATTGATGGCACTAAGGGAGAGCATATCTGTAGAAAGGAATGGTTGAACTGGGATCCCAAACCAGTCTGGCCCTAAAGTCCTATTCTTCAATGTTTACTCTATATGATTGAAACTGCCCCTTTATGTTAGTAAATACAATCTCACGTGATTAGCTCTATTCTTTATAGAGGAGAATCCATTCTGTGTGCTCTTGCAGTGTCCTTCACACCTAATTTATAACCCTTCTGCAAGATTTCAGGTACCACACATGCTGTAAAATATTCCTGAACACTTTCTCCCACCGTCAGTATTTTCTTTGTTATACTGTATTACCCTATCCCGATGGGTGTTTTTTGTTTTTTTTTTGTTTTTTTTTTGTTTTTGCGGTACGCGGGCCTCTCACTGTTGTGGCCTCTCCCATTGCGGGGCACAGGCTCCGGACGCGCAGGCTCAGCGGCCATGGCTCACGGGCCTAGCCACTCCATGGCATGTGGGATCTTCCCGGACCGGGGCATGAACCTGTATCCCCTGCATTGGCAGGCGGACTCTCAAGCACTGCACCACCAGGGAAGCCCCCGATGTTTTTTTAAAAAACTGTTTTGAGAAGCCCAGGACTCTGTAGAGATGCCTCAAGCACAAGAGTGGGGTGATGGGAAGCTGAGAACAGGTTCAGGGTTCTTTCACACTTCAGACATAGTAATTTGCTTTTCATCTGTTTTATATACTGTTCCACTTGAAATTACTTCAAGTGCTATAAAAATATTTACTTCCAAGATCAAATAGTTTTAGGCTAACAGAATTTTTAAAATACTTGTGTTTTTGTCTAACTGCTTCCCATCCCACTAAAATCTATAACAAAATGCATATGACATTTTAGGATGACAGTACATCACTTTCCAAAATAACTGAGTTTTATATCTTATTTCAGAATTATTGTATGAAAGTAAAAAACCAAAATTTGTCCTGTTAAAGACTATATTAGATATAGTTCAAAAGAGAATTAGTGAACTTCAATATAAAATTGATACATTAGTGCTATCTAATCCTTAGATCCCATTCAGGTTTCACCAGTTGTCTCAATAATGGCTTTTATAACAAAAGAAGCTAGTCCAGAATCGTGTTAAGTTCTCTATTTTGGTGGTCGTGCTATGTTTACATAAGAGAATGTCCTCATATGTAGACAATCCTAAAACTCAGGGTTCTTTTACTAAGGATGAAGAGAAATACGAGAATTAAGTGACAAATTGCAGTCTCGGCCACTAAGATGCTGCTTCTTATTTCAGGACTATTAGTGAACACAGAAGTTGTTTATTTTTAACTTGTAGATTTGAAAATGGCTATGCAGTACTGTAGGTCTTTGGCTCTCAAATCTAAAAAACGCTGCCTTTGGTCTCCTGGCACCTAAAGTTACTCTGCTAGATTGACCTTCTTTTTATAGTACCAAAGTTTAGCAGAATTTAAAAGCTTTTTGAATGAGCATTGAAAAAGATGCCAATTTGCCTGAAACCTTGACATTTCTTGCATAAATACCACCATTAAATGATCCCCTAAAACCAGAGTTTTAGTGGGTTTGATATTGAATCACATACTACTCCTTAAATGGAGGTTACATTATGTCAGGTGTTTTAATCTGTTAGAATCATTGTCAAAGGGGCAGTGTTCCACAGTCCCTGATAACTTACAAATAAATATCTAAAGTTTCCAATTTTTAATTTTTATACAGTCTTATGTTACAAGCATAATTTATGTTAAGGGGATATGTGAGGAAAAGTTGGCTAATTTGATTTTATTATTTCCTGTACTTCCATTTGGGGTTCTTGACTTTTATCACTTGTAGAGTATCACTGTTATCCTAAATTCTTTATCTAGATTCTCTCCTATTTTTCTAATCCATTTGATCTAATTATCCATCTACTCACCCCTAAAAATGACATCTAGGTTTTTATATTTTCAGGTCCTCTACAGACTATAATATAGTCTACCGGGATCTTTATTTGTTTGTAATAGTGTTTCCTCAGAACACAATTTTCTGTAGCATGGTACTGTCCTTTATTTGATAAATCATAATTATGCCTTTAAACATTTCAATTAATAAATATTTCTGAAAGCTATTCCAAAATATATTTTCAAATGAGTATGAAAATTTGCCCAAATGAACTTAATGTAATCTCATGTAATGGTAAGCTGAATATTGAATTTTGGGACGATCATCCTAATTAGTATTTGGATTCAGATGTTATGTTTTGCTAAAATATTTTATTTACTTTGAGAATCTCCCCTCTCTTTAAAAATAAGGAATAAGGGCTTCCCTGGTGGCGCAGTGCTTGAGAGTCCGCCTGCCGATGCAGGAGACGCGGGTTCGTGCCCCGTTTCGGGAAGATCCCACATGCCGCGGAGCGGCTGGGCCCGTGAGCCATGGCCACTGAGCCTGCGCGTCCGGAGCCTGTGCTCCGCAAATGGGAGAGGCCACGACAGTGAGAGGCCCGCATAACGCAAGAAAAAAAAAAAAAAAAAAAAGGAATAACAATTCAAATTAAATGCAAAAATCAACTAAAATCCACATTTGTTAGTCTTACTTTTTGCATGTGAAAACTTTAGGAGTTCTATCTGATTTTGTAATAAAATGAGAAGTAAAGGAAACTGAATACTAGTAGTCAGAGGTGTGTTTTGTGTTTCTTTTAATGGGGGGAGGGGGGAGGGGGAAGTCACATTGCAAGTTTATAGCACAGTGTCTTAAGCTAGTAGGTACTTTCTGTCCAGTAGCTGATTGAGCACATGGAGTTCAGGGGAGAAGAGCTGAGGAGTTATTACAGATCCAGCTTGTCCATCTCATCTCCCAACTGAATGAGAGACAAATCAGGAATAAAACCTATGTGTCCTCTTTACAAGAGGAAGTAAAACAGAGTCAGAAAGAATAGATTGTAATGGGAACAAGTTGGGTAAGAGTATAAGAATTGAGACTATTTTACTCAACCTTCTCATGTAGTGTGAAGATTTCAACAATTTCCCAGTGCCTGTACTCATTAGAAAAATGGCATTTCACAAGAATTGGAGGAAAATATGTTGGTAGGGTATTTTAACTTATATTGTTTAAACAAAAGGAAGAACCTGATATGGTAAAATGGTTGTTTTTAGTCTTCTCATTAAATATTTCAGGTACTTTCTAAGGGAAAAATACTAGAGCAATGAAGGACACTTTGACTCTACTTTCAAAAAGTAAATTGATCTAAAAGTTTTCAACTTATTATTTAGAGGACTGCATTGGTTGCATATTTTTGTTATTAAAATATTGTTTTATCAAACTATGTTTAGGTGGGAGTTACACAGGTATACAATGAATAGGAATACTCTTATTTAAAACAGCTTACCTCCTAACATTGAATTCAAGTAAAATACAAGTGTTCTCCTTTGCCACTCTATCAAAAACAGTTTCTGCCCCCAACCGATGAAGTGCTAGCACCTTACCTGCTTTATTTCTGGTGATACTTTTAACTACTAAATGTATATTTATTTGTTTGTTTCTCTTTTTTAAAAATATTTATTTATTTATTTTTTTGGCCGCGTCGGGTTTTAGTTGCAGCCTGTGGGATCTTCTCTGTAGCACGTGGGGTCTTTCCCTGCAGCACGGGCTTCTCTCTAGTTGTGGCGCATGGGCTTCCCCGCAGCATGTGGGATCATAGTTCCCTGACCAGGGGTTGAACCCGTGTCCCCTGCATTGGAAGGTGGATTCTTAACCACTGGACTACTAGGGAAGTCCCTATTTGTTTGTTTCTTGTCTGTTTCTCCACCAGAATATAAGCTCCACTAAGACAGGCACTTTTTTTGGTTAAATCGAGAATGTATAGTGATGAAAGCAGTACATGGCATATAGGGACACAGTCAATTTAATAAGATTCCTGTTTAGCAAATAGACTGGATTAACTGGCATCTCTTCTCAAGCAGGAAAAGAAAGCATGGAGGAAACATTGTATAGATGGAGACTCTGACCGAAAGTGGCCTCGAACCATCTTATTTAGATTCTATTTTTTTTTTTTTTTTTTTTTTTTTTTTTTTTTTTTT